TAAACTCCAACTTTCTTCTCTTCTTCTCCATCATTTTATCCTCTTTCTTTTTATTTTCCTTTCCATTTTTTCTCTGTTTCACTTTCATATATCTCTACTCTTGCACTTGCCTTCTCTAAGCATTGGGTATAGGTCCATAGTATGACTTCTTTAGCATCTAAGTTAAAGGTTCTACCATAATCTTTTGTGGATTTCTAGATGAGCTGAAGGTGCATATCCTTTCATTAAAATTGGCTCTTATAGACAAGTTACTTTCTATGGTGGAGGTGTTCACTTGAGATCACTGCCTAGATTCCACAGATTCTAGCATAAGAGAGATGAGGAATATTCCACTTTCAGAAATATTCCCCATCCTTGTATAAAAGCTATAGAAGACTTGTGGAGTTAAGTTTGTCTTAAACATTTGAGATTGCCCTCACTCTAACATTCCATTGATAGATATTTATAACATTAACACCATCAATTTTATTTGTAACATAAACAATATGCCACTCTCTTTTTGACCAATTTATAAACCTTGGGGTATAAATGGGGATAAAATAAGTATTAAAGGTTTTTTAGTTGGTTTAAAGGGAAAGAGATAAATTACACTTTTTTTGGTAGAGATTAGTTTCAATGAATACTATCTGATGAAATTGGGTAACTAGTCTCATTACATATATGCAAAGATGAAAAATAATGATCCAAGTGGTAAATATTTGGTTGCTCTTAAGTATATATTATTATATGTACCATTGTATACCATAATATATAAGCTTTTTCTTAGGCTAATAAAATAGATTTGAGATGCACCATTTTCATGAGTTTACACTTAGGCTTCTGAGTGAGGCATATTAGCAATTTAGGGTTACATTTTGAGCTAGTAAAGTTTATTGGTAGTATTAAGTTGTTCTATATTACTGTTAGTAAAAGTAAACCTCCCCTGAGTTTATTATGAGTGATGAATATACTGGATTCTTCTTATACATGATTATGAGTGGATCAATCAAAATTGTAAGAATTAATCTATTAATTCAATTAGCTAATGTTATGCTCTCTCATAAAGGCAGTGCAAAAGTATCAGTCAAATTGAGATAAGAAATAGAGTCATTAAAGACAAATGGTTAAATATATAAATTATCTTCGCTTCTTTTAAAGATGATCTGTAATGAGGTGTAATTTCATTATGCATATTTACATCATACAATCAAGAGCACTTACATTGATATATATTTCTTATAGCACTCTTAAGAATGGTGTGTCATAGGACTAGATGGTATTTCAGAATCTATATATATATTATGTTGTCCAATTATATATTGGATAATGGTGAAATTCTAAATTAGTTTACTTAGGCTTGTTATCTAAAGGTTTGAGTTGTAAAGCTCAATTTGTTTTTAGAAAACCTTGTTATTACTTATAGGATTAATATTTGATAAACATTCTTTCACTAATTTGAGTAAAATCTGTTAAACACTTGGGACAACAATAGTACTATAATTCTTATTGTCCACCTATAGAGTATAAAGTGAATGATTTGGTGTTTATTCATTTTTCCATTTTTATGGATTGTGATTTGATATGTATAAGTGGTTCTTTGTTCTATGGAAAGGACTATATATTTGGCATAACTTTCAATAAGCTAATCCTCCAAAAATTTTATATATGCAACAATTAAAGTGATAAATCCATTAATACCTTTTTTGATGTTTCTTTTGGCCCATCAACAAAAAAAATTAATTACCTTATATCCTTCTAAGAAAAGGCAATGATGTGAGGTCCAGATATATGGCTATGAGCATATTGAAATTTTAATAGCCATTGGATTAGTTTTAATTTAGACTATTCTCTCTTATAAATTTTAAGTTAATTGAATATGCACATTGCTATATTCCATGTATTTATAATTTAAATTTGTAATTCTTTATTTATTATTTAATTAAAATAAAATTATAGTTTAGAAACATTAATTTCCTAACCACTAGCATGAGGGTTAGGAACTCTAGGCCTAAGAACTCTAACTTTAGTGAGCTAGGGTCATCCTTGGATCTTGATTTGATTGAAGCACCACTACTAAATATTAAATAATATTTAGTATTGTATTAATAATACTTTAGAAAAAAATTAACAACATGAAAAATCAAATATTTCTTTTTCAATAGTAAATTATTAATATTTTTATCTCAAATTAAATTCTGAATAACGTAAATGAAAATTTTCAAAAAACTTTATTTAAATCTCACTTATATTAGCTCATTTTACAGCCAGTCCGTCCAACTTACGATGGCTACTTGTTTTGTCCTGATCAGTTTTACAGTTAAGTGATTCTGTAGTGCTTAAAGATTACCTTTGCTCTTGGGAGCAAACTTGGACGGGCACACTGAAAATGCAAGCCGCCGCGCGGCAAATGCGAGAGTGAAACGCTCCTCTTCGGTGAGCAATCTCTCAATCACTTTAACCGTTGTGAGGTCCTTGAAAAAGAAACATGTAAGAAAAACTTGAAAGAAGGAATGCCTGGACAAAGCACCTGTGGCATTGGCGAATGGATCACACCCTCGGGTGTCGTTGACGCTCGACCACCAACAAACAAGACGTTGTTTACGTTTCCCCATCTGTCCATCTCAGTTGGGAGGCTGTTGGAGTGCCTCCACTGTCCGCCAACGATGAACTTGTATTGATACCTGCGAAGTTTTGATGATCGATCATGGTTCTATATGAGATTCCGAGATCCATGACACATACTTCCCCTGTGGGACTCGAAGATCAACAATATACTTTGGCCCACTCGCGTGCGTAGCCTTTATAGGCTCGTTCCATCCACCACCTTTAAAATCCCCCACGATCAAAACCTCTTCCCCCTAGGCTTCAAAAGATTACGTTTCACTCAATGGCTGAATGGTGGCTATACGTACCTCTTTGCAACCATGGTTCCACACAAACTGAACAGCGTGAGTAGGAGGTCCATCGTGGTTTCGTTTCTCCACCATGGCAATCAAATCCCAGGTGGCCCATACCAATGCTGGCCTGTAGCAACGAGCAAAGAAAGCATGAGTTTTAACGCCATCAGGCTTGAGAGACTCACCTGTCTGGACCACAGAGATGAAGGTTCGTGACGAAATCGACGGCACTCTGAAGCGGAACGTCTTGTATCCAATGCAAATAGGCAATGACACAAGCGGGAGCTCTATCCATGCCGCTCGTGCATGTAACGTATATGTGATGTCCGGCTCTCAAAAGCCGGTACAGAATTCCTACTGCGAGTGGGAGCTTTCTTCTCAGGTCGACGGTGTCGACGTCTCTGAAACGAAGGAAAACGGATAACTTTGCTCCGACACACTAGAAAGTAAAGTGCGTGCCTGATTGGACAATGTGCCAGGACCATTCCGTTTGCTTGAGCAGCTTCTGTAATAGAGCTCTTGTCAATGCCCCAGTTGAGTTGCTCGCTCTCGGATTGTAAGTTGAGAATTGCAGTGATACCCTGTGCAAGACAAAAGCAAGTTAACCAAGACCTGGAGATTGTCAAAGCTTGAAGCATACCATTTGTTTGAGCTGTTGCATTTCTGCTCCATTTTGTAAACACGATCCTACGACGACGTGCTCTGTCATCTGGAAACAAATAACGTTCGGGACAAAATGTAAGACAATAAAGTAGAAACGCCATACCTTCGTGTAGCGAAGACCAAAACGTTGGCTGTAAGTCAAGTCCTTTGAAGCTCTCAGCTGAGCGCTTGTAAACTCCTGAAGTTGAAAGTTGCCGTGCGACCACTCCACTTGTCCTTCCAGGTCTTCGTCCGTGCTGTACCTAGCTATGACCTCAAACGACGCTTCCAAGTTGTGCCATATATCTAGCTCGGCTCTCTCGGACCGTTCATTCTCGTCGTCATCGTCATCTCCATCGTCGACACCCGTAAAGAAGCTCGCGAGCTGCCTGATCCCTTTGGGAAGCAAGAACCTCCAAGCGTATGTAACGAATCCCACATTTCCACCACCATACTCGTCGGCAATCTCAGGTTGATTGGGAGAAGTGAAGCCGCCGTTATTCCAAGTTGCCGATCCCACTGCCCCGTAGTTGAATGTATTCTCTAGCTTGGATTCCAGTATGAGCGCCTGGATGTGTGATGGAAACACCGATCTCTCTAGGATCAGTGTCACTTCTCCACTCCGGGTTTTCATATTGTTCCTGGAAGTTACACATTTAGAGCATAGCAGAACATTGTCAAGAGATCAATCAACTATCATATCCAGAAGAACATCCAGATAGAAGTCCATTGTCAAGAGATCAATCAACTATCACATCTAGAAGAACATCCAGATGGAGTATAGCTGTCAAGAGATCAATCAACTATCACGTAGTTAGAAGAAGAAGAAATAGAAATCCAGAAGCTCATGAAGAAACTAAAGGAGAAGAAGGTGGTGGAAGAAAGACGTACAATACCCGGCCAAAATCATCCACATTCCACACAGCATCGCCAAACAAGACCCTCTTGAGCACGTCGCCTACCATGATCAGCCGGGAATTCTCCGCATTGCCCTGGAATCACGAGAAAAAACCATGTAAATTTTCCTTTCTCTTCTTCAAGCCAAGAAGAAAAAAGAGGAAGAGGAAAGAACTACCTATGGAGAGCTAACCTGCTTGGCGAGAGCATCCACGAACACCTTGCCACTGAGCGTCTGCGCGAATCGAATGCCCAGCGGCTTGTGGATTGTCACCAGATACTCGTTGAGATTCATCTTGAATGCGTTGCGCGCACCGACGAGCGGCGAATCCTCCCGATGCTGCGCCCTGGCGGATAATCCCCGCCGCCGCTCCGCCACAATCGAGCGATGATCGCCCCTGGCGCCGGCGAGACGGACCTTGCGCGGCAAGAAATCGCCCCAGCCGGCAGCACCAATCATGGATCGATGATCCAGTGCTGCGCACGCCATCGCCGTAGCTCCAGCTTCCATCATGGAATATTTTGTGTGCGTGGAGACAGAGAGAGAGAGAGAGAGAGAGAGAGAGAGAGAGAAAGCCTGGGGCATATATTAAGCTAGGCTAGGGCGAGGAAGAAGTAGAGCTCTTGACGATGGCGTCCGGGAGGCCGCATTACGGCGCTGGAGCGCTCCAGCGGTCGGGAATGCTATCCAAGGAGCAGCTGTTTCGCCTCTTCCTCGAATTCGCGCATCTCGTCGACAAGCCCGGTTTGTGTGATTTCTTTCTGGGAAAGAATGTAGCTGCTAGATCGCTCTTGATTTCTCGAATTCGTTGCAACCCCGAGTGATTCACCATCTCTAGCTTCAAATCTCTCGAATTTCTTTCCTATCACGTCTTTGGATCTCTAGGAATCTCTTACAATGCTTTGCACTATTGCAGAAGTAAAAAAGCGTATCTCGGACGCAGTACAAGCAAGACAGGCAAGTTCTTCCTCCTTTTTTCCTGGACTTAACACAGACTTTAGGAAGCAGTGGGGGTGACGACTGAGATCCAGGAAGAAATCTTTCTGCGAATGGGTGTTGGTAAGCAAAACATCTCTCACAAGAGCAGCAGTGCTTTAATTTCTTCCTTGCAGAGCCAAAGTTTGGGATTGCATCGCTGGGGAAAGTGAACACAGTTTACAAGGACGACCGAGAACTCATGCTCAAGTTCTACGAGTTTGTTGCCCGGTATGAAATGCCAGTCGCAAGCTTCTGATCCACCAGCCGCTCGCATCGCAGAGAAGAGATGGCGTGTGACGAGGCGGAGCTCGGAAGAGATGCATTTCAGCAAAAGATGCAGCAGTTCACGAAATCTCAAGAACAGGTTAAGCTTGATCTTGTTAAAAGGATTGCAACTCAAACACTCTCTTTGTATCGCGCTAGCAACTCAAGTTATTACAGCAGCTTCGAAATCTTTCTCTAGACAGGCAGCAAGCCTTCTTCCAAGACGTAAGTCCATTCCTTTTTATAAATACCGGTCTAATCTTTTCTTCTTTATTTTGTTGTTGTAGCTACAAGCTCGAATGCAGTATCTTCACAAGCAAGGAGCTCCCAGCATGAGCACGAGAGACATCCAAGATTTTCACCAGCAGTTCCTCATGCGCAGTAACTAAACACTGAGGTAAGATCTTTGGTCGCTTCGTTCGATCTGATCAGCATTCCTGTCAATCCTAGCAGCGTGATTTCTTCTGTGTAGAGCTTCACTCTCGATTTTATTCACAAAAACGTTGTCAGTTTGACGTTGCTTTTCTTTTCCTCTTCTTGGTCTTGTGTTCCTTGCTCTTGCTCTTTTTCCGCTTGCGATCCTTGCTATCCTTCTTTGAAGAGCCACCATCGTCTTCGGACTCAGTCGCCTTCGCCTTGGCCTTTGTCCATGAGTCCGCCACCTTGTCCGGCAACCGAGGCCCGATGAGCCGATCTTCCCAATCTTCCTTTGTTCTCGACACCTCGGACGCATTCGTCGACGTCGTGGCCATCGTCTCTGCTGGATATGGGCCAGTGTCATCCATTCGTGATCCAACCGAGCCCCTCCCTCGTTTGATCCTCGTGTTTAGAAACTCCTCCACTTCGTCGTCCCGGAGATCGTTGGAGCACGCTGCCTGTGGATCGATCGAGTTCTCCACCGCTCCTTCCTCTTCTTCGTTCATCTGTCTAGCTCTCGAAGACGATCGGGGAGACTGATGCCGCCGCCTCCTGTCCAGATTGAGCTCCGCAGTTCTTCGTCTCCACATCTCGTTGATCTCTACAATTCGATTTGCTGCGAAGGAGAATGATAGAATAAGCGTTACGGTTTGTAGAAGAAAAAAGAACGAAAAAATCAAAGGTCAAAGGAAAAAATTTGGACAATCCAAGCAAGGCTAGAGGGATCAGTATCAACACAGAGGAGAAATCACTTACATTGCTCAACGCTACGCATTGTCGCCTGGAGGAACTGTGGATTAGGCCTCACGCGGACGGTGGGCTTGGCAAGGTAGACATGGACGCCTTCCTTGTCCGCCCGCCGCCGCAGCAGCGCCGCCTCCTCCATGATCATCTTCGCGAGCCGCCTCTCCGTCTCCTCGTCCATCCCTCTCTCTCTCTCCGCTCCGCGTCCTCAAAACCCTAGCTCCAAAGAGCCCTAAAAACCACACACAGTACCATATACTCGTGAGTCATGCCTTTGGTTTGGGTGCCCGTTGGCGGCAAATCGGCGATTGCAGCTCGAAATCGCCCTCCAGCTGCCATCGCTGCCGCCGCCGCTGTGCCTGGATCGCCGCGGGATAGGAAATGGAAGTTTTTGGAGGATTTGAGCGCGCCAGTGCCGAGTTTCTTGGAGAATCTCAAGCTCGTCTGTGCCGCTGGTAGGATTTCAATGCATTCATCGTGGTATACGATCAAGCACAACAAAAATTTCCTCCGCGCTATTCGGTTTTCCCGAAGTTCTTCATCGTTCTCTTGCGATAAGCAAACCAGTTCTCGTTTTTTGTGCCTGCATCTTCCCAGGAAAAAAATCTTCATAAGAAAATCTTCTCTTTTTTTTCTCGTTCTCTCAGACTTTTTTTCTTGCTAGTTCTTCATCGTTTCTCTTGATCGACTAAAAAGGTGATAAATGTTTTTCGCTTTTTGTGCCTGTTTCTTTGCCTGGAATAAATCTTTTTTTTTTCTTGCTACTTCTCATACTTTTTTCTCGTTTGATGTCCCAGGAACAGGAAAGAAGTTTCACGTAATCCGCCGCGAGCTGACCAAGGCACTGGAGAACTCCCCAGCGCCGGGGCCATGCACATTCATCGCGCGCTGCATCGACGCGCTACTCCGCCTCGAGGATCCATCCGACCAGACCCTCGGTCACCTCATCACTCGCTCGCTCGACGAGCTGGACGAATCCTTCAAGTCGGACTCGCAAGACATCTCCTGCTCCAAAAGAGTAGCCGCCAAGCTCGTCAAGTCGGCCATGTCCGGCGATCTCACGCTTGACGAGCGATTGCTCGTGAGGCTGGTGACCACTTTCGGAGTAGAGTTATCTGATCTTGCCGAGGCCGATCAAGACGAAGAACACGACTGCTCTTGCATGGACGAGAAAAAAGAAAGTTCCATCAGCGAAGCGAGAAAGCTGGGCGAGAACCTTGTGCTTAAGCTGGTGAAGGGGCGATCTTACAACAGCGCGGTGGCTCTCCTCAAGAGCTTTGGGCTGGAGGAGTGCACGGGGCGAGAGTTTCTCGTCACCATGGTACGTGATAACCAGGTGGACTTGGCGGGGCAATGGGCCTGGCACTTGGGGCCCGAGAGCTGCCGCTTCCTCGTCCAGCATTGCACAGACAGGAAGCTCTTCAAGATGGCGTACAGGCTCGTCGACCGCTATGGCATGCATGACGAGTTTCCAGAGGCGTATCACCTTTACAAACGCAGGTATTGGAAAGTTTTTGTTCGTTTTTCTCGTTTTGAGAGTCGGACTTTGCAGCTCGCTCAGGAAACTTGTCTCCAAAGGCCTGTGGGTTTTTGCGGAGAGCATTGCTAGCTCGGACCGTGTTCTACAGGAATACCTGGTAAGTAATGTGTTTTTTGTTTTCTCATTTTGCTGAAACATATGCGTGCTGCACAGATTTCTTTGGCACTGGGAAGGAAACAACACAATCGAGCTGCGCAGTTTTGCGAGCTGTTCCACCTTGACGATCTCGACTTATCTTCAAGTTAAGCATGCCTGTTTTGTTATTGTTTTCTCGATCTTGTTTTCAATCTTGTTCTGGTATTTACTACGAAACTTACGTGCAGTCACAATTGAAATACTAGAAGAAGATCAGGTTGGCGACTACATTCAGCTCGAGAGCATCGTCGACTTGGACAGAGTCGTATGGGTTGATGATGCCGAAGGCACGAAGCTCGTCACCAAGCATCTCATCGAAGCTGAGGCGATTGGAATCGACTGCGAGTGGAAACCAGTGAGCACCAAAGGCGAGCAAGCTAAGGTTTGATCTTAGTTTATCTTTCTCAAGCTTCTTTCACTGTTTTCTTTTCAGGTATCCATCTTACAAATGGCCAGCAAGGAAGACGCCTTCGTGCTCGATTTACTCGGACTGTCCGTCACAGCACCCCAAGCTTTAAATCTTTGCATCAGCACCCTTTTCCAATCAGAGGAAATCATAAAGCTCGGTACGTCTCCATCGCTTTTTCTAAGTGTTTCTCTTTCTCTCGCTTCACTCACAGGCTATGCCGTACACAATGACTTGGAGATGCTAGCAGAGTCGTTTCCGGAAGTGGACGGTTTCAGGTCTTGTAAAACGATAATTGACCTGCAAGTTTTTCCTGACAAGCTTTCGGCGGGAGGACTCTCTGGACTAACGAAGGTAATAAATTGCAAGAATCGATTTTTTTCCCTTTCCATTCACTCAACATCAGCTTTATGCGTATGAAGTTGACGATGGGAGGCCATCTTGACAAAGACGTGCGTATGACTGATTGGAACCAGCGTCCACTCTGCAAAGAACAGGCAAGTATTTTTCCATTTTTCTTATAAACTTCGATCGAAAAGCTAAGCCTGATCGTGGTTCCAGTTGCATTACGCAGCATTGGATGCAGCGATTCTACCCTTGATCCACGAGAGCTTGTGTTCGTCGCACTGCCTAAAGGATCAAGGACGCAGCCGAGCCAAATCATGGAAATATGTAAGTTAATCTCTGCTTGTTGCTCATGCTCCATTGGTCCCCTTTCGCTACCAGAGATTCAAAGCTATGGTCGATTCCTCGAGAGCAGCAGTGGTCAGTAGTACTGTTTTGTTCTTTTCTGTTTGTTTTCTCCAACTTTTTTCTCGTGATTCTGTCTCTACAGGATCAAGTGAAGAACGAGCTCCAAGAGCTAGCTCTTGCAGCTGGATTGCCGCGGCCGATTTACAACACTGTTTTCTCAGGGCCGGATCACTCCAGGAAGTTCTCCTCCACCGTCACTGTTGCTGGCCGGATCATCCAAGGAAGCCCCGCGAGCAAAAAAAAAGAGTCGGAAGTCTTGGCAGCGAAAGTGGCGATCGCGTTAATTCACGAAGGTATGATCTTCTTCTCTTCTTCTTCTTTCGCGATTGTCTATAACTTGGTTTGACCACAGGAATTCTTACCACTGATGAAAGTGTAGTAACTAGTCAAATAGAAAATTCCAACGGCTGCGATTGAGACTGGGAAAGTTAAAAGGTAGAGATACCACTACTATTTGCTTTACTCTTTTTTTTCCCTCCTATAGCAGTGCGCGATGGTTTCTTCTTCTTCTCCCTCCCAATCTCCCACTCGCGATCGCGAGGCTTGCTCTCGGAATGACGATTTCGATCCAAATCGCTACGTCGAGAGCTCCGGCCTGAGAATTGCGCTCGCGTCGGGGCTCAAGATCGTGGCGTGCTTCGTCGTCATGGCGATCACCACGGCAATCTGGACTGGCGTGATGCTCTTGCTCCTCCCCTGGCCCTACGAGAGGATCAAGCAGGGAAATCTCTATGGCCACATCACTGGGAGGATCCTGGTAGGCAGGGAGCACGAATATTTCATCGTGATTTTGTGTGGATTTCATCTTCTCCCAGCTCTGGATTCTTGGAAACCCTATAAAGATCACTGGCGCCGAGCACGCCAATGCCAAGGCGATCTACATTTGCAATCACGCGTCGCCGCTGGACATCTTCCTCGTCATGTGGCTCACGCCGCTGGGGACCGTCGGGATCGCCAAGAAAGAGGTGCGAATCGCGATTTCCTGATCGATCAATCGATTATCGCTCTCTTTGTGGTAGATTATCTGGTACCCGCTCTTCGGCCAGCTCTACGTGCTCGCCAATCACCTGCGAATCGACCGCTCCAATCCCAATGCCGCGATTCGCTCCATCAACGAGGTGAGGATCAATCGATTTGGCGATGATTCAATCACGATTCCTCGCAATCTCTTCTCCCAGGTGGCCAAATCCGTGACGAAGAAAGACCTATCGCTCATAATCTTCCCCGAGGGGACGCGATCGGCCAGTGGCCGACTCCTTCCATTCAAGAAAGTAAGCTTTACACACACAGTACCGTACGGTGTGGCTTACCCTCGTTCTCTTTTATCTTCTCTTCCACAGGGAGTTGTTCACATTGCCTTGCAAACAAAGCGTCCCATTGTTCCAATCGTAATCACGGGCACCCACCGCGCCTGGCACAAGGATAGCCTCAAGATCCGCCCAGCTCCACTGACAGTGAAGTTCCTTCCTCCAATCGAGACGCAGGAATGGCTTCCTGAGAAGGCCGATTCATACCTGGAGATGCTGCGCTGCCTCTACGTCGATAACTTGCCCGAGTGCCAAAGGCCACTGAACTGAGCGTTTCTACTCGACCGTACAAGGTATAGTAAGGGAAAGAGGATGCTCTGCTCTTAGGGATGGTTCTAGGGGTGGCAGCGGCTCCGGCCTTCTCTCTGCTGTGGCCGCCGCGGCACAGCGAGAATGCGGTGCTGGGAAACAGGTTTTGTGGCTCAGGCAAGCTTGGGCAGCACAGAAATCGTCTGGGTTCCAAGGTAGGCTGTAGTTCTGAATCGTATAGTCGACGACTAGAGGGAGTTCATAGATTCGAGGCTCGAGGAGAAGCCTATGGTAGTGGCAGCGAAGAATTTGAGTCTGGAGCTTGGGGTGAACTAGGTGGTGAAAGCAGGGCCTTTGACGACGAAGAAGCAAGGGAATATGGTGATGGAAAAGAAGAGCTAGAGTCGGAGGAAGAAGGTAGTGAGGAAACCGAAAGGGGATATGGTGAAGACAACGACGACGAGGAAGAGGGATTAGAATCGGATTATAGTGATGAGGAGGACCGAGCAGACGAAGAAGACTTAGAATCGGATTATAGTGATGAGGATGGACAACAGAACGAGCACGAAGAAGAAGGTGGCAGTGAGGAAGAAGAGAATGAGGAGGAAACGACTAGTTTGGCTGCAACCAGGGTAGACCGACCGTTTCCGCTGCCTCTGGTGACTGGCGGACGAGGCCCATATCCGGGACCGAGTAGAGTGGATCCTAGGAGACGAAGAGGTGGTCTCGGGCAGCCTGTTCACAGACTGTTCATTCTCAAGCCTCCAATGAGCGAGAGGCAGCTTGCACGGAGAATTCTAGCCAGTCCCCAGCTGAGGCTAAATTCACTCCCTGTTCTGAGCTCGTTGCTGCCGGTGGCTCCTTTCACGGAATTCGACAAGGAGTGGATCCACGAGAATATGGTGGAGGTGAAGGACATCCTTGGATATGGAAAGGTTGGCGAAGATTACGACCGGGACGTGGAAGATGACGAGAAGTTCTGGCAGCACAGCAGTCCGGATCCAAAGGCACATCTGCACACATTTTTGTACCTTGCGTTCCAACACGAGGAGAGCTACAGGGCCAAGAGGATGCGGCACACACGAGTCGGACACTACAGGCTTGCGTTCCTTGGAGAGTTCGTGTTGGATCTGGCAATGGCGGAGCTGCTACTGCAGATGTATCCTCGAGATACGCCAGCAAGCTTGAGAGAACGAGCATTTGCAGTGACGAACAAACGGGGCCTCGAGCGTATTCTGTCCGATGCGGGGCTTCACCAGCTTGCTTTCCCAGAAGACGAGAATTTTCGTCCAAGGTTTCCGCAACGGTGCCTGCTGTCCAAGTAAGCGTGTCATTCTTTACGAACTTTGCAGATGTGTGTTTGTTCTCTCTTCCCTGCAGGTCTGTGTTCCTTGCTCTCATTGCAGCCGTTTATTTGTCACTCGGTATGTCCGAGGTGTACAAGCTGCTGTTCGAGACGTTCGCATTTGATTTGGACGCAAAGTCGGCACAGCCTAAAGTGAGATCAAAACACGAGGATGTGGATCATGTGTCAGCGGACTTCGAGGGCCGACGACTCACCTGGAAAGATATTGCATTTTACAAGGTAGAGTAACACATCCTTTGAACTGACTCCTGATTTGACTTCATCTATCTTCCCCAGCCACCTGAGGATGCGTTATTTGCCGCTCCGAGGCTCTTCAGAGCTTGTGTACCACCTGGCATGTACCGTTTCCGGAGAAACCTGTGGGACGTGGAGTCTCGTCCCAAAGTCATGGACATACTGGGCTACCCTTTGGATGTAAGAGACGAGAACCTGGATATGACAGAAGCCAGAGAAATCGAGCTGGGCTTGGGACTCCAGGTAACTTGCTCAAGTTTCCACGAAAGCGCCTTGTCATCCTCTCCTTTGTTTTTAACAGCTGTGCTTCATGCATCCCTCGGCTTACAAGAACGACCACCCCCGGTTTTGTTACGAGAGACTGGAGTTCATAGGATCAAAGATCCAGGTAATAGCAAATTTTCGTTCGTTTCTTATGGTTTGGAAGGATCATACTCGAGAAAACAGGACGTTGTCATGGCGGAGAGGCTACTGATGAAACACCTGGACGCCCCGGCGATCTTCCTCAACAGGATCCACCGGGGAATTACAATCAACCGGATCTGCGGGAGGCGACTGCGCATGAAGAGGCTCCACAAGTTCATCACCTACGGCGAGGAGCGGCAGCTTGAGTTTGCGAGATGCCACCGTCTGAGGAACTTCACGCACTCAGCCACCCAACAGGCGCTACACGGCCTGGGCTACATTGTTTACGGTAAGGCGGAGGTGAGGCGGCTCATGTTTGACGTGTTTGAGTTCGAGAAGCCGCTGCCGACGCAAGCGGACTTCAATGACATGCTGGCGTCACAGGGTCGCCGGTTTGTCAACACCTTGCAACCCACTTATTAAGTAAAAATCACATAACCAATGTCAGATTTTATTTAATGTGTAAAACATTTTGATATTTGTGCTTGTGTTTAAGAGTTGAAATATACTATTTATATTTAAAATGATTTAACAATTTATAATTTTTATAATATAACTTTTATTAAATATATTTAATTTTTCTTACTGTTTTCATAGGATATAAATAAATTTTTTTGACAATTTTAAAAGCTAATGATTGAAATAATTTTTTTCATAAATATTTTATTTACATGTTATACTCATTAATTAACAACTTTGTTTTCATAAAACTGCTCCCTATAGAACACATAATTCTAAAATATATAAGGTATTAGTAAATAGTATTTTATTATGGGTAAAACTTTTAACTAGTAGCTATTCAACAATAGTTTTAAAAAATAAAAAAAACTCTTTAAATGTATTTTAAAATTAATTTAACTCTAAATTTATTTTAACTCTTTTTTAAATTAAAATTTATATAAGAAAATGTGACCACTCAATTCAACCAAAAATAAAAGTTACATAGATAACCCTAAACAAAATAATATGTAAATATACATATAATAGTGCTCAAATAATCATATTCTAGAACTCAAAATTACTTTATCAAGAAACACTGTTCAAAAGTTTATATTACCTTATTAAGAAACACTACGTAAAAAGTCAAAAGTTTAGAGATTTACAATAGTTTAAATAAATATTAAAATTTATTTTAATTTAAAATTATGAGTGTTTAGGATATAGTAATAGGTATATTAAGAATGAATGGACCAAATTCAATCCCAAATAGATGGTTTATATGTTATAATATTAGAATTAACATATTATATAAGCAAAGTATAATATATATATATATATATATATATATATATATATATAAAATATCCAAACTTTACACCATCCTCCCTTTTAAAATTTGAAAAGGTGATAACAATAAGTCAAGTGGACAATTATAAAGTACTATAAGAATCTAAAGCTCTCACAAAACCACCAACATAATTGTTAATAAATATAACTAAAACAAAACCCAAAGGCATAGCACAAACATTACTTGATTATGAAACCTTTATGAATTAATTACAACTTTATGTGCAACTACTAAATTGTTGAATTAACCCCAAAGCCATAACTTTGAATAAAAACAAGGGACTTTGAGAGTTAATATAGTTTATAAAGCACTATTGCAATAACTAATATATCCTATTTTTAAGTCTACCTATTAATGATTTTCTAAGATTATTGTTAACTCAAACTCATTACCATAAGCAAAACTTGCCTTTGCATCTTCCCTTCAATCAACATCTAAAACCCATATTAACTCAAACTCACAACTTTGTTCAGCATTACATATAAAAGGTTTGACTCACTTCATTCATCCTTTATATCATCTTTATCCATTTCTCAAAGGAAAAAAATTGTAACTTTGTCTGGATTTACATTTATCCTCACTCTACCATTTATATTTGGCTTCACTCTATTATCACATTTATTCAGCCTTATTACATCAAGGTTAAATGTTTTATTCGGACTTACTATATTTGTCCTTACTTCACAATTTATGTCATTCATCTTTGTTCCATCACTGTATCTGTTCGTCCTCACTCTATTATCGAGGCCAAACTTTGTCTCTGAAGAAAAAATAATTTGAAGTGTTAGAGCAAAGAAGAGAAAATGAGAAAAATTGGGGAAGAAACACTGTAAAAGAAGAAAAAGTGGATGAAAAAGCATCAAAAGAAGAATTTTCAATAGTTGTCAAAATATAAATAAGGAGAAAAGGCATAAATATGATCAAAACCTAGATATTAGGGTATTTTGGCCACTGTGAAATAAACAAAAGATTCACACTATTCAACCTCCCTAACACACAGCTCAACACTTAAGAAAAATTAATAAAAAAGTTTACACTCTCAAAGTAATACATAAATATTGTAGTAGCAATAATAAAATGAAAGCTTTCAACAGCATTCTCGACCAGAGCCATACACTCAACCTAAAACTCTGGCCAAAGTGACTTAACCCTTGCAACAAAGGAATATTTAATGCTAGAACTGATCAAAGATAGAAACACTCAACTCAACACTAGATTGAGAATGATAATTATAAAAGTCACAAATGATTGATATACCATGAAAAATAAACATTGCAAATAAGGAAGAAACACTAGAAATATAAAAAGGTGGCTCAAGTTAAGAAATAAAAAGAAGGTTGGGAAAGAATAGAAGATAAAGAGGGAGGATTAAATAGCAAATTGAAAGATTAACACTTACTCTATGAAATCTCTATTTTGTCTCCAAAACTATCTTTATAATAATCAAGTTTATCATCACAATCTAGAAAAACTATCTTTATAATAATCAAGTTTATCATCACAATCTAGAAAAACTATCTTTATAATAATCAAGTTTATCATCACAATCTAGAAAAACTATCTTTATAATAATCAAGTTTATCATCACAATCTAGAATCCACTTGAGCTTGTACATATTGTCTTCTTATAAACTTGATTTTTGAATATTCTCTAAAAACTGGATTACATCATTCATAGTTTGTCAATCAATGTCATGATCACATTCCACATCAACAAGAGATGGCAAAACACCAAGAATAGGACAAACCATGTAATCATGTCTTATAAAAACTAGAGATGGCAATACACCAAAGATGGGTGCAACATTAATATGATCACACCCCACAATACCAAAAACTTGATCTAATGGAGTAACATCAACAACCTTAAATGACATACTTTTTGATTAATGATAGTATGGCATGGCAAAAAACAAGAATGCAATGAAAATCAAAAGAAAAAACAAATTTAAGCATAACAATAGTTAAAATTCTAGATTTTGCAAAAAAGTAATATAGATCTAAATTTAAAAGAGAATGAAGAAATAAGAACAAAAAGGAATACTAGAGTAAAATATTGTCAAAAAGTTTTACCCTTCAAGGATAAATTATAATGTTCCTCACCTCCACCAATTAAATATATTAGGTTTAAACCCTTATTTATATAAAAGAATGGATGGACCAAATTTAATCCTAAATAGACTTGCTAGGATGGTAGTGAATGTACCTAGAATATGCTTAGATATTCTAGAATATTCTACCATCTAATGGTTGTTATTCATTTAGATTAATCTTGTATTTATAATTTATAAATATATTTATGATTATACTTTCTTAAACACTTTTTAATATTTTTTTTATTCTACCATCTAATGGTTGATATGCAATAAGATTAATCTTGTGTTTATAAATTATAAACATATTTATAATTATAAGTTTTTATTTGATCAATTGGATTAATAAGTAAGAATAACACTACTATTAAACAAACCAAACATTGCTACATGCAACGCATAACAAATTATTATATACATATATTTATAAACCTTACAAAATGTTTATAAATATAGATGTTTTAAAATAAAGATATATTTAAGACCTTATTAGCAGAAGAGTGTCACTAACTAGTTTTTAGTAGAGAAGCAGTGAAATTGTCATTAGAAACCTCACTCTAAGCATTATATTGCAAGTCGATACGTTGCCTCGTATCTGGAGGTTGCCAGCAGCAACCGATGGACCAATTCAAGATCCCATCGATCATATCCATACTGGAGCATGCTTCCCACTAGCCAAAACAAAGGCATGAAGTATGAGCCAGTAATTGGTATTTCTCAAACTTACCAGATTATCCGTGCTACCTTCAATGTGGAAGAGCATCGTCCCTAATCCCTTCACCCCATCTGTTTCAGCCTAACGACAGACAATGTGTGATAATATGCGAGAAACTCCAGGCTCTTAAGTCTTACCACACAGGCGCAAATTAAGATCCCAGCTCCGCCTAAAGCTCCTGTTACTTCCGCAAGAATGTCTGATAAACACCTCTTCTTAGCGGAGAAAAAGCAAGGACAGGAAAACAGCTTACTTCTTCGATCCATGCAGCAAATGCTGAACCATTGCACAGAGCTTCCCAGGCATTGCCAGTTCTTTAGCCTGCCAATCAACCAGTCTTCTCGACTTCGGCTGGCGTCCGTTACGTTGTTAATGTAAGTATACGTTCTCTGGCTGTCCGAGGCAGCACTCCCAATAACGCAAGTCCCTCGTCCCAGTTTACCGGCTAGCTCGCCCCTCTTGGCGTGCTTCCCGTTGATCATCCGTCCACCGTACATCATAGCGTCTTGGACTGGCAGCAACTTGGCAGCGTAGGGATTCGAAGTAGCCAGATCGTTCATGCTGAAGTGTCCACTAAAACCGGCCATAGCCCGATCCCGATCCTTGTCCTCGTCAGTCACTGGATGTCCTTCCCCGCTAGTAAGCTCTTCGGAGTTGGAAAGGAACTTTTTAACAGCGTCAGCTGTCAGCTCTATCGCGGATAGAAGTGCCTGTTCCTTCAGAAACTTCGTCAGCTTGTGTCTGGCGCTTCTCGTCCTCGCAAAATGCAGCCACCGCTTGTGCCGTAAGAATTGCTTCTTGTTTGATATGCCCTGACGTTGCAAGCAACGAAACGTTGAAGAGGCGAGATAAAAGTGAACTTTATTACCTCATATGTCAAAATCTCCACCACCTCGGCATTTGATAAAACGTGTGTTGGCGATACAAGGTTGCCATTGACCTGACAAAACAAATACATGAATTGATAGACAGTAAGATTTAGCTTACCTTTGCTCCAACCATCTTGTTGCCAACATCCGCATGCAATTGGTACGCGTAGTCCACAACTGTTGCGCCTCTTGGAAGATTTTTGATCTGCGCAAAGCCAAACCTTAGCAACGTGATGATGGTTACTAACTATCCAGCTAACCTCTCCCTTTGGAGTAAATACAAAAACTCGGCTCCCCAGTAGATCAACAGTCACAGTGTCAACAAACTCCCTTGAGGTCATATTACCAACAAATTCTTCTTGCCATTGTCGGATAGAGTTCAGCCAGCTAACCTGAGAAAGAAACAGTTAAGTATACTTCAGGAAAGAGAAGATCTGCGTCCCTACACTTCTATACCCTGCGAGCAAGATCTGCAGCATTCAAACAGTTAGATTGTTGCCTTGAACCATTTATAGCTGGTGTTAAGGCTATGCTTCCACTGAAGTGCACGGCAATGCCATACTGCGCAATTTTGTCCATTTTGTCTGTTCTAATCTGCAAACAAAAGTTTTTAAGAAAATAGACCAACATAGCAACTATTAAGCACCTGAATTTCCAGTGGGAAAAATGTCTTTGAACCAAATGGGATGACTTTAGTGTGTAGACTTTGGTAGCCATTGGGTTTTGGGGTAGCAATGTAGTCTTTCATCTGAGCACGAATTTTAAGTTCAGTGGCATTACAAAGAAAAACTTACGGTTTGCGGTACAGGAGACCATAATGTGTGTACCAGTCCGAGAACATGATAGCAGACCTGCAGCAATCATTTCAAGTTACCAAAAACAAACCGATAATAGACACGATACTTGTTTGGCACTGCACAGACGATCGATGGAATCCTGCTTCGGCTGCAGCACAATCCTCACCTGTAACACAGTGGAAATTCAGGTGGCATAACCGGTAAATATTACTACCTGAGCAACGTCTCCAGCTTCTTCTAGATTTTTCTTTTTCTTGTATATGCTGCATGCAAACCCGCTCCTTCACAATTCCAATACGTATTTTGAAACAATACCTATACAGGTCTTTACATAAAGTAAAAATGTTGACACCATCAATTACATGAGAAAGAAATTGATCGCTTTGCACAGACTTTACCAACGCATTTTTGGCCTGTCCACAACGTGTCAAGAACACAACAAAGACAAAACAAACTTACCTGCAAAATCAGATCGCTTTGACTTTTAAAATGCTTCTCGACTTTTTTTTTCATGTCAATATAATCTGCAGGATACGCATACATAAAAGATAGCTCTTCCAGTTCTGACTGAATGAAAAAAGAGCACGTCATTGTTAGGACCAAGACCAAAAAGTGCATTTCAGTACCTTGATTTTATGTATACCTAGCAATCTAGCCAATGGTGCAAAAACCTGAAGCGTTTCAAGAGCAATATGCCTCTGAAGAAATAAGTGTTAGCACCGTGAGCTCGCTTAAAGTGGACGCCTAACTTGTTTGTGTTCTGGCATGAACGACAACGTGCGCATATTGTGCAGTCTGTCAGCAAGCTTCACAACGATCACGCGCACCTAAAATAAATAAAAGCAGTGATGAGATGACAAGGATTAAAAAAAATCAAGTACAGAACCTCCTCTGTCATTGCAAGAAACATCTGTCGCAAATCGTCCGCCTGAGCATCCTGTACTGCGGCCTGAGAATCAGAAAATTGAATCTTTCCCAGCTTAGAAACCTGCAGATTTGAATCAGTTGTATTTGTATTCTTTTCAAAAGATGTTTCCTGCGACGTACCTTCGTTTCACCTTCGACGATCCTGCGGACATTAAAACCAAACTCTTCCTCTAGCTTTTCAAAAGTTACAAAGTCCGTGTCCTCCACAGTGTCGTGAAGAAGTCCAGCCGCAATAGTTTCCCAATCCATTTCCTAGGCATGTACGTAAGCGTGAAGCTAAAAACGGCTTCTGAACTACTTACAAGCTCGCCAAGTATGCGTCCGACCTCAACCGGATGGATGATATAAGGCTCACCACTCCGCCGTTTTTGCCCGTCGTGTGCATCGAAAGCCAACTGCGAAAGTACTGAGCCAAAAGAAAAATCCGTGCATATCTTCGTACCTTCAGAGCTTCTTTCACCCTGTTAAGTTCTCCTTGCGAAAGGTAAGAGATGCTAGTCCGCAGTTTCTGGTGGCGTGAGAAATCAAGAACTAGATACAAGAAAAATCAGAAAGAACTTACATCCCATAGTGAACTGAATCCATATTCCTCGGAGGTATCCGATCCATTGTGAACACGACAGCTCCGCAGCCTTTTATAAGCGGAAGACTTCTACGAGAGCACGCTTTTCTCAGAGATAGAAGAGATTGATGGGAAACTTTACGCACCTGTAGAATAGCAGCTGTTCGAAGAAATCCCCTTTTCGACTTAATTTCAGTCTGGAGATGAGAATCAGCGGTGTTGGCTAGAGTGCCAGTGAGTTGCCGGGGCGCAATCCATGCAGAGATTGTACAGCAACACCTTCTACAGCTCGGAGCTGCCTCCACCAATGCTGAGGACAAGAAAATCCAATGCAGTGAGCGCTAGCTCATCGACGAGAGCGCCATTCCTCGAACCTGGATAGTGAGCCGCGCATGCCATATCGCTGCGATCGATGTGGATTCCAATTCCTCGTCACGGTGGAACCGGCGGCCATGCAAGCAGATTTTCCTCCAAAATCTCCATGCCTGCTACACAATTCGCGAAATGCGATGCCCGGACACTGCCCGCGCGCTGCCAATCGCTCGAAAATCCCTAATCGCTCCCTCTCCTCGGCATGCACTGCAGCGCCAGGCAAAACAAAATCCAAAACCCTAAGTAGCGCTTCTCTGTTCTAGGTCGAGCACGAAGGACGTGTGTGTGTGGACTGCCCAAGCATGGCCATAGGCACACGTAGATATTTGCAAGGAGCGTGTGGACTGTGGAGTATGGTGTTCGATCCCTGCCCATGGCAAACCATGAATTTAGCATATTCCACCGCAAATAGCGGTAGTATCTCCGCATATTCTATCATATGATTCAAGTGGAGTGAGGTGTTCGATACCTCATATAGATAAGTTTTTTGCAATTTGCATATTCCACCGCAAATTCTCGCGGTGGTATATTCTGCGGGCCATTTGGCATATTCCACACATGATTCAACCCCTTCTTCCTCGCGTATTAAAAGCCTAGCTAGGAACAACGAGACAATTAGATTGATATGGGCGAGCTTCTACTGGCGCGGCCGCTGGTCGTGGTGGGATCGGCGAATGCGGACATGTATGTGGAGCTGGATCGAATGCCAAAGGAGGGCGAGACGCTGGCTGCGAGGAATGGACAAACTTTACCAGGAGGAAAGGGAGCGAATCAAGCCGCTTGCGCTGCTCGCCTCTCCTTCCCAACGTTCTTCGTTGGCCAGGTATGAGAAAGCGATCTAGATCTTCGGGAAACTCTAGCTCCTCACGAGGATAAGATCAAAGTTCCTGGAAAGGAAGTACAATAAAAAAAAAGGATTGAACACTGTGTCTCGATCTTACAGGTCGGGAAAGATGGAAATGCGACGATGTTGAGAGATGCACTACAGACCTCTGGAGTTCGCCTCGACTATCTCAACACAGTCTCTGGGCCAACAGGTCATGCCATCGTCATGCTCCAGCCGAATGGACTAAACTCCATCGTCATTGTTGGAGGCGCGAACACTGCGTGGAAGAAGCGGACGGGATCGTCGACCATTCCCGTCCAGGCCGAGGAAACCATTCGAAAAGCCGGCGCTCTTCTCCTGCAGAGAGAAATCCCAGACGATGTCAACATCGAAGCCGCAAAGGTACTCAAAGTTGAATTTTTACCGAGTTTCTCTTCCTTGGTCGTCGTTGCGAAGCTCGCTCACACTTCGGTTGCCTTTTTCGGATTGCAAGAGAAGCGGACATTCCCGTCATCATGGACGCAGGAGGCTTCGATTCGCCCATTCCGGAAGAACTTCTCAAGTATATCACGGTTTTGAGTCCAAACGAGACGGAGCTTGCTCGTCTCACGAGCATGCCGACGGAGACAACGCAGGAAGTCGTCCGTGCTGCAAACAAGTGCCTCGACATGGTGAGAAGAGAGAGAGAGAGAGAGAGAGAGAGAGAGAGAAAGGAAAAGATCAAACTAAGAAACAAACCTTTGTGACAGGGAGTGAAACAAGTTCTGGTGAAGCGAGGAGTTCAAGGCTCTATGCTTGCAAAAGCTGACGAGAGTCCCATTCTCCAACCAGCAATTCCAGCCCCGGCTGTTGTCGACACTACAGGCGCTGGAGATACTTTCACTGCTGCCTTCACGGTCGCAATTCTCGAAGGCAAAGAGCCAGCCGAGGCCTTGAGATTTGCAGGTATTGGGAAATCAGTCTTTCGCGTTTTGTTTTTCGACCATCTTGTTCTTGCTGTTGTTTTCTTCTCAGCTGCTGCTGCATCAGTGTGCGTGAGAGCAAAAGGAGCGATTCCAAGTATGCCGAATCGGAAAGCTGTGGATGAAGTCTTAAAACACGAACAGTACGTGTAAACGAGCCAAAACAATTCGAAAGAGCTCACAAGCAACAACCAGGAACACTTGAAATGAAAAACAACTCACATGTTTCACCGCAGCTTTAGATTCACAGAGAACTCCTGTCGAAAATCTCATTACCAAAAAATGTCTTCTAAGTGATATCGGATTAGATCTCGGTATGCTTCGGTTTCACTTTTTGTTCTAAGAACTGCTCGATATGCTCCGTTTTCCAATTGTCAATCCTACAAGGCAAGACGAACGAAAACAAGCCGATAAGAATGGGTTTTTCTTTTTCTCTCATCGACACAAACCTGACTGTTTCCTTCTCGTTACCATCCTCGTCAAGAAGTATGAGCTTGGGCGACGCATTGAATCGATATTGAGCTTGGACGGCCGGGAATTTCTCCAGCTTGCTCTCGATAAAGGTCTGGACGTGGGGGTAAAACATGAGCTTCCTCATACAAACTTCCAAACGAGCTCCAGAGAAAGTAAGCTACAAAATAAAAAAAGAAAAATTAACAGGATTCATTCCAGAAGAACCCTATACCTTGCTGAGCGACTCCTCGTTCTCTTCAGCGCAGCATTTTCGACAGTCCAATTCCAGCTCTTTGAATCGAATCAAATGAATTCACCAATCATGGAAGAACAGCAACAAATTTTACCTTGATCCTTGACGATTTCGGCGAAGGCATCGCAGTCGGAGCAAAGCGCGAGGCCAGTGAACCCTAATTCCTCACACGTCTTGTCGGCACGGCCACACAATGCGACGGCGCCGAGCACCGCAAGCACCAAAAAATGGAGCTCCATGACCTTTTTCCCGAAGCGACTCTGCTAAACTCCTAGTAATCTTATCCAAATAAACAACAAAAACGATTGCACTGCCCGGGAATCGAACCCGGTCTGTTCCGTGGCAGGGAACTATTCTACCGCTAGACCAACAGTGTTTTAGTAAAATGTTAACCATTTATCAAACTGATATGTTTTTCTAGCCTCATAAGCATCGTTTCGGGCTGAGCGAGCTTCTCTTCTTCCTTTCTGACACGTTCATCTTTTCTTTGTTGATCAACCCTGTCCGCTGGTCCTATCTATCTACTATCTATCTATATGTCAAAATAAGAATATCTCACCCGATTTGGTTTGGTTACTTAATTTGGTTTGAAAAAAAAGAGGGTGGATCTTATGAAGCAAATGAAAGGAAGATTGCTTATATTTATTGTATTTTGTGTGTTCATCTTTGCTCTTTACTTCCCTGTGTTTGATTTGATATTGAAAAAGCAAAAGTTTTTGCAATACCTTCGCCAAAATCATCAACAATTTGATCACACAACTTTTAATGGTTTACTTCTTGTTAAAGAAAGGGATGATCATTGCAAGTCCCGTCTCGAACAGCACCGCTATCGGAGGAAAAGCTCACAATATGTGCCATCACCATACCTTCTCAAAAGGCTTCGAGCATATGAAGAACTCCATGCTCATTGTACTCATGACTATGTTGAAGCTTTCCATCATTTTAGAAGTAATGCTAGTGATTCCCGGTGCAAGTTTATAGTGTGGAAAAGTTATAGTGGTCTCGGAAACAAGATTATCTCCATCACTGCTACTTTTGCCTATGCTCTATTGACAAATAGAGTTTTGCTGATTGAGCCAGGGCCAGAGAATTACATGGCACAACTATTTTGCGAGCCTTTTCCTACCAGTTCTTGGTTTCTCTCCACAGATTTTCCAATTTATTTGTTCAATCATGCCAAGCATAGACTTCAGTTTGATAATTGTAAGGGTGATCTCAAAGTTCAAGGGTATGGTCTGATTGAAATTATTGATAGTTTTGATGGTCTTGGAGATAAGTTTTTCTGTGAGCACGAGCAGCAGATGTTAAGTGAGAAAATCCCATGGTTGGCAATCGTTGTTAATCTTTATTTCATTCCAAGCTTGTACAACGTTCCAAGTTTCAAGTTAGAACTAGATATGTTATTTCCAGAGCAAGAGACTGTGTTTCACCACCTTGGAAGGTATTTGTTTCATCCCTCAAATCAAGTTTGGAGTAGAACGGTGAGAATTTATGAGGATTACATAGCTAATGCAAGTAAAGTGGTTGGTATTCAAATGAGATTGCTAGAGCACCTTGGATCTAATGGTCATGAACATTTTCTAAACAAGATGATCGACTGTGCTCAAGACAATGGCCTCCTTCCAAAATCCATCAAGTCCAACAATTCAACTCAAGCTTCTAGAATTCCCACACAATTCATTACTGCTATAGTGACTTCACTTGATGGGATGTACTTTAAGAGGTTGAGAGAACTCTACTTGAATTCTGCAGAAGATGGATCATTAGTTCGAGTTTTCACTCCAAGCCAAGAGAATGAGCAAAAGGTTGACAATCAAGAGCATGAAGAGAAAGCACTTGCAGAGATGTTTTTGCTTTCTTTCTGTGATGAGCTAATAACAAGTCCTGGATCAACTTTTGGATATGTTGGCCACGGCCTTGCAGGAATAAAGCCTTGGATCCTAGATAACAAGAAGAACTGCTCTAAGATGGTGTCACTTGAGCCTTGCTTCCATGCGAAAGTTACATATGGATGTAAGTGTATGCCTCCAAAGGATGCTCTTAGTGTTCAACATAATATTCAAAGCTGCCAAGATGTTACTTGGGGAATTCAGTTAAAATCAATAATATTGTAATTTTTTCCACTTCAAAATAATATAACACATTTTTTTTATTCTATGGCCAAAAGTAATATCATTTTTTAATTCATAAAACTTAAAAGCAATACCAAATCTTATGAAATAGAGGTGTTGCTCATCATCTAATTTTCCATTGTATAAACTATTGAATTTGTAAAATATGTAGAGCTAGAGGCTTTACAAGGGACAAGATATTACATTATAATATTTATTGCTATTGACTCTAGAGCAACAGTTGGTCCAATTGATTGATGCTATGTGCTTGCAATTGAACAACCAAACTCAATTGATGGTGGCATTCACGGCACGTGGTCCAACTCCTCCTACTTTTGGTGCCAATCCTCGTGTTCGATCGGAGTTCTTTCGTGGGCATCTTAGGGATGATGTGTATTATTGGTTCGATCATTTCACGGTGATTGCCACATATCATCCTTGAGATGATGCTTGACGTTTGCGTGAGTTTCCCACATGTCTCCAAGGGATGGCATTGCAGTGGTACAATGGATTGAGTGTGGCCACTCGTGGGGATTGGAGTGTTCTTCTGGACGTCTTCAAACACGCCTTCGGACATGCCGACGATTGTGATGATGCCTTCCAACAATTGCATCGTCTTCGCCAAAGGCCATCTGAGTCAGTGATGCAATTTGGCATTCATTTCCGAAGTCTTTTGCTTCGTGTGGAGCCCAATATGTCGGAGCGGATCAAGCTAGGAATGTTGTGGCCAGCACTTCGTCAAGATCTTGTCGGCTTTGTGCATGCACTTGCTCTTGCCACCCTTAACGATGCTCTTCGCTTGGCACAACGTTATGAGACGTCGCCTCTTCCACTTCTTGCTGCACGTCCTTCCGCTCCACTTCTTATGAGTGATGGTCCTGTTCCAATGGAGGTTGATGCTGCTGCTGCTCGTGTCCAAGGACAAGGGCGAGGACGTGGACGTGGCCGTGATGTTCGTTGTTAGGCGTGTGATGAAGTTGGTCATACTTATCGGCGTTCTCGGCACTTTCCGGATTGGCAACCTCCATTTCCTGGGTGGAGACCTTGGTGTCAGCAACGTCTTGTTAGTGCTGCTGCAGTGGAAGGTTTGGATACCGAGGTGCATCCGGGAAATGAGGAGTCGCGCGAGTAATGGAGGGACCTTGCGTGAATAAGTTAGTGACCCCTCCATCTTTCTTTCGGGAATATTATCAAGGGGTTCACTTGGCACCGGTTCATCCAGTGTTTACTTTCCAAGCTTGTTTTTATAACAAGAGGTCTCCTATTATTCTCTCTGTGTTGGTTGATATAGGTTCGAGTTTATCTTCTATTGCTCGACCTGTTGCCACACATTGTCATCTACACTTGCGTCGTGCAGCAAATCTAGTTTTCATTCTTTATGGCAACGGCCGTACACATGCATGTGCACGAGATGAGGCGGACCTAGTTGTGTGTGTGGGCGATCTCGAGCTTAAGTTGCAGTCATTGCAGGTGGTGCCGAGTCAAGCTTTTGACCTCATTCTTGGTATGGATTGGTTGTAGCACAATCACGCAAAGTGTGACTTTGAGGCTTCTCCCCCTTGTCTCATATTTTCTTATGTTTCATCCATTCCTCTCACTTTCGTACCTCTTCGTCCCTCTACTTCTACCTTTGCTTCCATTACTTTTGTTCCCCCACTATTTCCTCCTATGTTTCCATCTTTTTCTGCTCTTCCCTTTTCCAATCCCTCCGATGATCTTTGTGTTGCAGCTGTTGACCAGTTCATGAAGGAGTATTCTGATCTCTTTGAATTTAACATATCGTCTGGGGCCAAGATTGCCACATGTCATCTGATTCCCACCAGGGATGCTTGTCCAATCAAGGTTCTTGTTCATCGTCGGTCACTCAAGGAGATCAAGATTTTACATGCAAACATCAAGGAGATGTTGGAGAAGGGTGTTATTCAGAAGTCGTGGAGTCCTTGGGCATGTGAACCTCATCTTGTGATGAAGCCTGATGGGAGTATTAGTTTCTGCATCGAATATCGTCTGTTAAATGAAGTGACGATCCCGGATGTGTACCCTCTTCCTCACACTGTTGATCTCTTGGATCGTCTAGAACGAAGTCGTTAGTTCACCAAGCTAGATCTTGCTTCTGGGTATTGGCAAGTACCGATGGCCGAAGAAGATATTCCTAAGACTATTTTTCGTACACCATTTGGTTTGTACGAGTTCTTAGTGATGCCATTTGGTTTGAACAATGCTCTAGCAACTTTCCAGCGAATGATGGACGAGGTTCTTTGTGATATGCCAGAGATGATTACTGACTTCATTGATGATGTCTTGATTCACTCGGAGGGGACGTGGGAAGAGCACGTTCATGATGTTTGTAAAGTGTTAGATCGGCTACACGATGTTGGTTTAAAGCTGAAGTGGTAAGTGCGTGTTTGGGTCCAAGGATACAACTTATCTTAGGTACCGTATTTCTTTGGTCGTACTATTCGATGGGCTTTGAAACTTCAGATATATGATTTTGATGTTGTTTATTGCCCAGGGAGTTTTATGGCTGATGCTGATGCCCTTTCTCGAGCTCCTCTTTCTTCTCTATACTCTTCTCATGTTTCTGATGAGCCTGTTGTTCCAGCCTCTGTGGATTTTCTAGACGAGGATTTCGTGTCGTCGGCGGTTGTTGTACTTGATGTTCAGTGTCCACAAGGCACAGAGCAAGATCTACCTTCTCTTGATGAGGTTCGCGAGGCTCAAAATATTGAGCTATGGATTCGCAGGCTTCGAGATGGGTTTGAGAATCCTGCATCACTTGTTGATGACTTGCCTTTCCGGCATTTACATTCTCAATATCGCCTTGAAGACGGCCTTTTTTATTTTGTGGGGATGGATCTTGATGATCATTTACGGCTGGTGGTGCCTTCTATCTTTATTCCGCGGTTTCTCCATGCCTACCATGATTCTCTTGTTCTAGGAGGGCATATGGGACATCGTCGTGTAACCGAGAAGTTGCGCAGGTCTTTCTATTGGCCAGAGATGCGACGTGATATTATCCAGTATGTGTGTAGCTATGTTTGGTGCTAAGCTCGTAATACTCCCCCTCGGGCTGTGGAAGGACAGTTGAAGTCAATTTCAGTTTCCCGTCCATTTGAGTTGGTGGCATTTGATCTTATGGGACCTTTTCCACGGTCGACTGCTGGCAATGAATATGTTATTGTAGCTTCTGACTACTTGACTCGTTGGGTGGAAATTGGTGCTCTTGCTAGTGCCTCTGCAACTGCTATTGGATACTTCCTCCTCAATCGTGTGGTGTTCCAGCATTTTTGTCCAGAGCGGATTCTTTCGGATAATGGTCCTGCATTTATGGCTGAGGCATTTCATGTTTTGACGTCTCGGTTGGGGATACGCCACACTTTCACCAGTGCTTATCATCCACAATCAAACGGTCTAGTGGAATGGCTTGTTCGGACATTCAAGGGGATGATTGTGAAGTATGTGAACTTTCAGCATTCAAATTGGGATGGTTATTTGCCATGTCTTCGGTATGCATATGTCACAGGGGTGTAGAGTTCTGTTGGTGCTTCACCATATAAACTCTTATATGGTCATAATCCAATATTACCAATGGAGCTGGGTTTACCTTCGCGATTGCCACGAACTGCTGATGCTAAGTCATGGGATCAGTATTTGACGAGCATCCTTCCACTTGTCTGAGCAAAGTCTGCCGAACACTTAGGCCGTGTACAAGTGGGAAAACAACAGTGGTACAACTCCCATCATGGTCCTCCTACGGAGTATAAAGTGGATGATTTGGTGTTAGTCCGTTTTCCCCATCTTACGGTATGTGGTTTATCTAAGGGGCTCCTTGCGCAGTGGAAAGGGCCGTATTAGGTGTTGCGGCAAGTTGGACCATAAGTTTATGAGGTTTGGCATGACGTCCAGCAAACCGATCCTCCAAAGATTGTGCATGTGCAATGGTTGAAACGCTTCATACAAAGGGATCAGGAGTAGTTAATACCACCTACAGATCCGCTAATGCCTCCTCCTGACGTTCCTCCAGATCTCGGCCCGTCTACAAGAGAACCCTGATGGTCTTCCATTATTCCGAGAGGAGGGGATGATGTGAGGGCCAAGTGTATGGCTACGATGTTGTATACTAATATTCGCATAGTGGGATTTTGGTAGCTGTCGGATTGGTTTCAATCCGGACCACTCACTCCTATATATAAGCTAGGGTTTTTTGGGTTAATAGATATGCACATTTCTGTATTCCCTTTCCATATTCTAAGCACTCACAATTATACTTACTAGTTTACTATTAAATTGTTGATGTCCCTTTTTCCTAATTATGTTTGGTGGCAATTAAACACTGCAAACCATTCACTATGTCATAATAGTTAAAAAAAAATTCTCAACATTGCATTTTTTCTTACTTAACCTCTTAGGACACTTAAGGATTTGTTTCCAGTTTAGGGCTTATGTAAGGTTTATGTAGTAAACTTCATGGGTGGATCACAAAGTTGAGGCATGAATAAAGCCCATAATAGAAAATATTAGTGAGACTTACTAGGGGTGAAAACTTTTTAAACTTAGCAAAGCAAAACATTTGCTATGGAATCAAAAGAATGTATCATGGATGAAAGTAGTGATCTTATGTTACATGGTGTAACAAAGGATAAGAGCAAAAGATAAATTAATGGCTTGGCTTTGTTATGACAGAATATACAAATGGCACACACAATTGTTTTGATCAAAGAGAGAAGGGAGATGTGAGCTCTTTCGTATCAAAATGTTAAGTAATAATGTACTTAGTAACAACTAATTTATATAAAATCTAGGAAAACACTACTAATGTATATATTTTCTTTCTTTCTTTTGCGTGGTTTGGTTATGTTGTGCAATAAAATCACTATTGCATCTCTTAGCCCTTGAATCTTAGGAAAAAAGATTACAAGAACCTATAAATATTTATGTGTATTTTCCTTTTTTTTGAATGAAAGTGCGATTGAAGATCCATAAATTCTAGATAGTATACTATGATAAACCCCTCAAGAATGTATTCTAGAGAAAAACAAACTCTCTCTTTTATATGTAACAACTTTATATCAATGATTTTTTTTTCCTTTCAAACGGTTATATGGTTTTATATAGAATTTTATTTCAAATTTAATAATTTAAAATTATATAACACTTGACATTTACTAGCTAGAAAGCATAGAGTACAAATTTAAAGAAGTGACAAGGATACTTTTTATGCAAATATTTTAGTTTATGTTCTAATAAACATCCCTATTATAGCATGTAGTAAATATTTAAATTGTTAGAACAAGAAGTGTCCTTTAGAACATTTTTATCTATCTAATATGTAAAGAATGTAAAGAATTGTGAAATTATTAAATTTGCCATAACCTTAATATTTTAAAGTTTATAATGTTCATATTAAAGTATAATTGAAACTTGAGTTCAACTCATAAGCTTAACTCTTCAACTTGCGAACTCAAATATAATCCACACTCATAACTTCCAAGTTTTGGAACCAAGATAAACAAACTCTTGCCATGGCATATCTTTAATGTTACAAATAAACTCTTGTACCTCTCTTAGTCCCATGATGTTCCAAGTTTTAGAGAGCTAGACATTTGTCCATGGAAGTGACTGTCTAGAGACTGCACAAAATAAAACTTGTACTGCCCAACTCGTGGGAGACTAGACCAGCAGTGCCCTAGCAATTAAACTTAAATTTATTAATACAAGAAAACGTATTATAATTGCCTGCACATATGTTCCGTAGCTCTAGTTACATAGCTAATATTATACTAATGGAAAATTATGAATCGTGTTATCTTCAAAACTGTCCTGCTAGCAGAAAAGAATTACAGTAGAGCTAACGCTCCATATTTGTACCTGACATCCAAGGAGAAAAAATTTGTTTGCTAGCTCTCGTACCTCTTTCTGTAATGCTATACATCATGGTTCCCACTTTGATTACGCTGAAAACGACTAGAGGGAATGAGAGGGGCCTCCTCGTCTCCAACAGGCATGCTTGCATTGGCTGGAATATCTTTCTCGAGCACGTCGGAGTCTTTCTTATCGAGCCGCCATTCCTGAGAAACATACACGCGTCTTTAGTAAAAGACTTGAGCAACCGGGTCGTGGTTCCAAACCTTTGGCTTGTCTACATCCACAAGAGAAATCTGGTGGACAATGGTTGCGTCCCGCATTTTCAAATAGTTGTACAGCACAACTCCGGAGAGTGCTGAAAACACCGAGTTCCAAAATATTAGCACTGATGCATGATTTGAGACAGCGTTACCAATAGCGTATCCGATGATATTTAATCCCGTGAGCTTGGATTCTGGGAAAAGGATGGTTCCAAGCGCTATCAGCAGCCAGTCTTTCAGGACTCCGGCCACTCTGACAGTGAGAGCCCCTGTCCTCCCAATCACGAGGAAGATTGAGAAGTTCAGCGCCAGAGCACACAGTGCATTCGTAAAAAACACCCAGAAGCTAAATTTCCAGTGTTCAACTTCCATAGCCGGCTTCTCCAAAACAATCCAGGGGAAAAACAAGAACAAAAAACTAAAACAAAAACAGAATTTTACAATCTAAAGGGGAAACCAGAAGTCACATACCTGCATGGGGCGATGTAATATAAACTGGTGATGGGGTTCAATGTCAGGCCCTTCTTTTGCAGAAGTACTTGCGTGAGTACTAGTCGCAGAGCTTCACAGACAATCCCTGTCACTTGGAAGAATGTACCGATGACGTTGAAGTGGATTTCACCGTAAGAAGAAACTGCCACTCCAACGCTGACGAGCAGCATGTTTAGAAACAGATCCCATCTAGCTTTATCCGTTCCGCACGAAACAGCCATCATGAATGTTGCTACAGGCACTAGCAACAAAGAAAGTGTGAGAGCATTATGCAAACGGAAGCTGGAAACTTACTCAAAGCTTTGAGCATCTGGATGAAAGCCACGGAAATGTAGAGATAAGCAGTGTTTCCAAACCTGAAACCATGCAAAAGCTTAGGGAAATGTATAGAAACGTTTATACTATACCAAAGGCTGGAAGCAAAAAACGCGCTTATCGGCACAACGCAAGATATATATCTGCCAAAACAAAAAACCATCCTCAGGAAACGATTGAAACCGCTTGATAATACTCACATATCGAACGTCATTTTGACTGGAGTGACCACCTGAAGAAAAACGCTAGAACATGTATTCCACGGAAAAAAATAGCTCACCTTCAAAACACGCACAAGGAAAAACGTGACAACTCCAGAGAATCCCATGTGTATCATCGTAAGTGAGATGGGATAAGGAAATCCATAGT